CTCTAACAAACTACACTAACTCATACAGATATAAAATTCTAACACCAACACCAAGAGTTAGTTAAGGATGATAATAATAACACTGGTCTCTTCTTCTTGAGAAAAGTTTTAAGGCCAATGTAGTAGAGTTCTTTGGATGGCAAAACCAAGTCAATGCACCCTGCTAGCTACCAGAAAAACAGGAAAATTTAAAAAAATATATTAGCATGCCATTGATAATATAACTTAGACATTTAACCATCTCCTCCACTCCCTCCACACCCCCAGAATAACTACATTCCAAATCAGTGTTGCCTGCTGTTGAGAAACAGCACTGAACTAAGAGGCAAGATTTGGGCTGTAGTCCTGGTTTTATCACTTATTAGCTGTCAGACTTTGGACAAGTCATTTAATATTGGTGAACCTTAATTTCTTCACCTATTTAAGAAAAAAGTGGGGAAAAGGATGATATACATAGGCATTGGAGATATAATACCTATGTGTATCATCCCATGGCTTCTGAGAAGACATGTGAATGTGAAAGTGCTTTAAGCATTTTAAAATGTGATATAAATATAAAGGATTGTTATCACAAAAAGCCAACTACCAGAAAAGCAGTTGGTAAGATTCTTATATAGACACACATCATGAGTGATTATTAAATGAAGGGTAAGGGGTGAGGGAGAGGAAGAAGATGTGAACTTCTGCTATCCAACAAGCCACACATTTCATTTTCGAAGTTTTTCTCCCTTTGACCATTTCAAAGCAGTACCTACACCTGAGATTCCGACCTCCCTCTAACCCCACAGATCTGTAACTCCAGTGTTTTGCTGGAACCCTCCTTTCCACATCAAGAACACATACCCATGTGCCCTATGACATTGCTCAGGTCTGCGAAGAACTCCTTCTTACATCCTCTGCTACCAGGAGGTAGGTACGAAGATCACTGAGTTAATGTTTATCAAATACTTCTCAGCTTCTCAGATGAAAAGCATCACTGAAGTACGAGGTACCTGTGGGGTGGGTGGGTCAGCATTGAGTTGTGTTAGAGGATAAATAGCATGATCCATGCGGACACGAAAGAAACCATGTCTCCAAAAAAGACTCTTCCATGACTGTTTCCAGACTATTCAGGTCTCAATTTTAAAGGTCTGCAGATGCATTCCCAAAAGCCAAAAACTGAAATTTTCCTCTAAATATCATTACTCAAAGGCATGAGGGACTTTTACATCAGCACAAATCACATGTTTGGTCACTAGTGAGAGAGGAGCACATGGAAAAATATGTGCTCCTTTCTTCCTGTCTTTCTTCCCAGAAGCTATATTTTGGCTTCTGAGTGACTTTACCTAAAACAAAACCTCTCAACTTCCATGTCCTATACAGCTTGGGGCAAATAGACTAAACAGTAAAAAACAGGCTGCATGTGTATGCGGCATGCATGTGAACCCAATCCTAAAAAGGAATCAAACACAAAAATGTTTTTGTAACAATAATTGATTCTCAAAAACATAAGGAACTCTCCCAGGGTCACACTCTGCATAAGTTTGGATGAAGCTGACAAAGAAGCAATAAGTCAAATAGAGAATCAATACAGCCCTGGGCAAGGTGCAGATAAACAACAGCTGGTAATTCACAAAACTTCACTTAAGCATTCATTTTAACCTCCTTTTCACCAAAATCTTCTTCATCCTGACTAACAGCATGAGACTTAATTGACTAAGAGTTTTGTCTTGTCTCTTTTGGGACGTCAAGGTGACACTGGATAGGAATTCATGTCAGGAAGTTTGTTGTTCAGTCATTTTTCAGTCATGTCCGACTCTTCGTGCCTCCATTTCGGGTTTTCTTGGCAAAGATACTGGAGTGGTTTGCCACTTCCTTCTCCAGCTCATTTTACACGTGAGGAAACTGAGGCAAACAGGGTGAACGACTTGCTTAGGGTCATACAACTAGTAAGTGTCCGAGGCCAGACTTGAGCTCAGGAAGATAAGTCTTCCTGACTCCATGGCACTCTATACAGGAGTCAGGAAGACCTGAGTTCTGGCCTTAGATATCTCCTAGCTGTGAGACCCTGGGCAAGTCACTTCACCCTGTCTGCCTCAGTTTCCTCATGTGTAAAATGAGCTGGAGAAGGAAGTGGCAAACCACTCCAGTATCTTTGCCAAGAAAATCCCAAATGAAGCCACAAAGAGTCACACATGACTTAACAACAACCTGTCTCTCTTCCCTTCCTCAATTGATGAAAGCTCTGGCATTCATTTTATTTGTTGAGTACCTACAGACAAAACTAAAATAATAGGGTAGGATGTGGATAAAGGAAAAGAAACAAGGGAAAAGCAGGTAGTGTTGTGAATAGAAAGCAAGCCTTGCAATCAGGAAGACCTAGGTTCGAGATTCATCACTAACAAATACATGCTATGTGACCCTGGATAAATTACTTCATCCCTCAATGCTTGGGGGCACTGAGAAATTAAGACTATAACTGGGTAGAGAAACAAGACTATTGTGCAATGATAAAGGGAGCTTTCTCACCAGGAGTTCCCTGGACCAAAGAAATTACTAGACCAGACCAAAAAGAAACAAAAGGCTTCACAAGTAGTCCATAAACTGAACAACCAGCTCCTGGATACTCAACTGAATATCTTTATTCTCATTCAAAAAGACCTAGATCCCAATAAGAAAATAAAAATATAAGAGGAAATCATCTTAGTATCTCACCCTCACCCTACAACTCAAGGCAAATAAAAGAGTCTTTACGACACTTGAAATTTCTGGTTTCTTTTTGGTGTACCAAAAGGCTCTTCCATTCTTGGCTCACTTACATGCTGCTGCCTGCAACTGAAATGTTTGTCTAAACTTAATGTCTACTTTAAGCATAACTGGCTAGAAAGACTTGTCTTCACCTACCACTCCTCCTGGGAAGATCACAGACGGTCAAGGAGAATCTTCACCAGTAGGCGGAGAGGCAAAGATGAACGCAAGTGGTTATTTAAAAGAAATAACCACGCATTTTTCCCAGTCAGATGTCTGATGCATAGAAATAAAATCACAGACACTAGCATAGCACAACCACCATGCACAAGAGTAAGGCGCTAATCATACCAGTGCTAATAAAAGTAGCATGTTATACAGGAAAGGGCACCAGATTGACAGTCAAAAATGCAAGGTTCCGTGGCTAACTCCATCTGATTACCAGCCTAATGACCCTGAGCAAGTTTCTTAACCCCACCTCCTCTTCCCCTCCCCATCTTGTGGAATGCATACAAAGTAGTGTATGTAAATATGAGTGTATATACGAATTATATACGGTGACGTATGATATCAGCCCTACAAAGAACAGCTCGTTTAAAAACTGGCTACAAGTTGACACTTGCACTATGTATACCATAATAAGCTTCTAAATTAGGGACCTCATACAGTATACCATGGCTACAGCATGAAAAGCTGTCATATGCCATTCAACTTCCTATGCATCAGTCCATCCCTAATAAAGTTGCAGGAAAAAGAAAGTGGCTCTTATAACTGTGCTGTAGCAATAACTATAGCATTTCTAAGCGATTTATAAGAGAATGAGCATTACTGACACAAGCACTCACTCTCACCAAGGCATAACAAAAGCAAAAGGCGTACATTTCTGACGTTCTTTGATCTCTAAACTGCTTACATAAAATAGGCAAGCTATTTAACTTCCACCTCTCAGTTGGTGGGCTTACTCTTAAAATGGATGAGCAGTAGCAAAGTCCCTACTGCTGCTAGCGCCTGCCACCTCACCGCCATAACCAAAGGTGACCACAACGAAAGGCTGTATAGTGCAACTAACCTTTTGCCTATAACAGTGGAGCAGCCCTTGACAACCTAGAGCCCACAGTAGGGTTCTCCACACCTGAGGACATGTGGACATAAAAGTCCCCTCTCTCAGGTTTGATTCAAACCTGTCTGTGCCCTATCTCATCTCTACCATCAGGGAAAAAGGCTACTACTGACCTCCAATCTTTAACTTGGCCCCTACTTGATTGAATTTTCCTGTGGTTACTAGATTCTGATTTATTCTGTCCTGCATGTTCTTTTTTTGTATCTGATGGTTGAGGGGTAAGAACCATAGTTTCTTTTTTGAAATTGGTCAGAAGAGGAAAAAGCAGTACACTGTCAAAGATCCCTGCTACAAGATACCTTGGTTGCAGAACTAGAAGACGTCCCCACTTGAAGGCAACAGCTAACAACCCCAAGCTTCCTTCTTGAGTTCTCACCTTACAGAGAGCAAACAGAAAAAGGGGCAGAAAACTGGGTGGACAGTACATTTTACCTTTTTGCTCCCTCCAGGTAAAACGATGGTAAGCCTCTTGCAAAGTGTCCCCCTAAAAATCTGTTTTCTAAGGAGGGAGTTGTTAAACCTCAATCAGTTTGAGTGGGGGTTTTTTTGGAAGAGGAGTGGGCCAGAAAAAAATCTGGTCGGAGACAAATTTCACAGATATGGGCTATGGGCCCCGAAAGAGCTGTTGGCAAACATGGGGCCTAGTGAGGGGGCAGGAAGAAACTTCTTTCTCCACGGGGATCCCCCGTAGTGGGCTGGGCGGTGGGGTGTCCCACTAGAGGAGTCTGCCTCCCCTCAGAGGAAGAGAACGTCCTAAATCCCTTAGCATCCCCCCTCCCCCAACAACGTGGATATCTTCAAGAGGCAACCCTTCCCCACTAAAACTCAAAAGGAATTGAAGGAGGCTTCGGCTAATCAGACTCCTAGCGACCTCCAACCCTCACCAGGCAAGCTCTGCGCCTTCACTACGGGAGTAATCCCTCTAGCCAGCCAACTCCTGCACAGCGGAGGCGTCCGTCCGTCCGTCCGTCTGGTCCGTGGTCGGCCAGAACGCAAGTTCGTTCTCCAAGTGTTTGCCAAAGTCATCTGCAAGCAGCGGTGGAGCTGAAAGCCAGCCTTCCAAAGCCCCTCTAGGACTCCAAGCAAAGGCACGGACCGCAGAGCTCCAAGCCTTGGCCAACAGGGTGTGTGTGTTACGTACCCCGACACTTACCTGCTTACACGTCCCCCCCGGACAGAGGTCCCGAGTCCCCCACGAAAAGGTCGGCGGCGGCAGAAGCTTCAATTCCCCAAGGAATTTATTACAGTGGCTGATTTGGGAAGGGGAGGGGGGAAGTAGTGGAGGAGGAGGAGAAAGGGGAGGGAGGTTTCCGCTCCGATCAAGCGAGGAGAGTCCAAGAAGGAAGAAGGGAAGGATAAGAGGAGGAAAGGGGGAAATAGAGTGAGAAGAGAAACCTAGTCATCCAATGTGGGTTTTGTTCCACGGCCGGGAGATCCCAAGGCTTAAGGCCCAAGAGGATGGGGTGAAGTGGGAGGGAGAGAGAGGGCCCGCTAGCAGCTACTTTGTGTGTGCTCTTTCAGGAGAACTGAAGGTTGGAAGAGGGGACGGCGGGGCGGAGGCAAAAATAAAAAGTTACAGCAACCTGCCCCAAGATCTGCTCACGTTGCACTCCAGGGAGGGAAAAGTTTGCACTGACTTTCGTGGGCTAAGCAAGCGAGAGCCGCAGGAAATGCAAGAAGGAGAGAGAGGAGGGAGGAAAGGGGCCGCTCGGGGGAGAGGAGATGAAGCAGGCGCCGGGGGCAGCGGCGTCCCCACCCCCCAACACGGCTGGGCTCTGAGGCGCTGGGGTGCCGGGAGGAAGAAGGGAGGGAAGGGGCTCGCGGTGGGGGGCGGAATGGAATGTGGCCCGAAGAGGAGTCCCAAGGGTGTAGGCTTTGCTGTTCTGTGCGCACGCCTCTGTGTGAGTGTGTGGTGTGTGTGTGTGTGTTTATGCGTGTGTTTGGAACACGAAGCTGGAGCTCCCTAGCCGAAGCAACCCTGCTCAGCTCGCGGAGCTACGTCCTTGGGGACGTCACAGAGCAGGAATCCGTGGAATGTGGGGCTGCTGGAGCTCCTGTTGCAGGGCCGGTAGATGTCCAGGGACTTCTAAATATTTTGCTTTGAGGAGGGGGAAGGGAGAATGGGGATAGTGAGAAGAGGTCGAAGTGAACTACCATCCAAGAGTCAGAAGCTTGAGAATAGAAACGGGAAAAATACCCTAGCTAGTGGGCTGGAAGAACACTGCAGCAGTAGTGCAAGCAGGAATAACCCACCTCCGTCCCTGGGGGTGGAGCTATAGGAGGGGCCTGACCAAACCCTCTGGGAGAGACCAAATACAACCCCCTTTAAGGGGACCCTCTGCCCGGTCACCCCACGCACAAGCTTCCAGGAGCATCTGACGCCTACGAGAGCAGCTAGGAGAAAGCAAGGAACTCTTGTATCCTAAGCATGCTTAGTGGCTTTCGGCCAGGTTGGTCTTTAGAGCATCGGGAACCTAGTCTCCTTGACGACCCCCCCCAGCTTATAAAAAATGCATATAAATAGAAACATAAATGGAATGTATCATTCTGCCTGATCATGTGGTACCACATAATTGCCCCACCCGTGGGCTTGGCACAGGAAGAGTATTTCCCTAAATCTTTTGGAGGTGATGTTAAAGTAAGGCAGTGTGATGGGAAAAAGAAGCCCTGACCATAGTTCTAGCCCTGGCCCTTCTACTGGCTGAAAATCTAAGACCTTGGGCAAGTCTGGACCTTTTGAGACCAAAATGATGGTTGGAGCTCTGTGAGATCTCTTATGGTTTGGGTTGTAGGGGGGAAGGAGAAACAGCAAATATCTCATGATCATCATCTAATCTCAATTTTCTGTTCTTCCATCTCTATTACTATTCCATCGACTATTATTGTCGATACTACCCTAGAATCTTGTGTACCTCACCCGCCCCACCCCACCACCCACACACCTACTTGCCATTCCAGACCTGTGAATCTTCAACCTCACAGTCCAATGGCTTCATCATGCCCCAGAGTTGCAAAGCATAGATTGAGGTAATCAATCAATTTAAAACAATTATTAAATATTTGCAGCGATAGAAATACAAAGAAAGGTGAGAACTGTCCCTTCCATTAGAGCTCTAATTCTAGAAGGGGAGACCGTGTATAAATAACTGAGTACTTACAAGATACATACAAGTAGCTTCAAGTGGGGAAAGCACTACCAGCCAGTGGAGAAAGAAAGGCCTCTTACAGAAGTCAGAATTGGAACTAAGTCTTGAAGGAAGCCAAGGCACCTAAGAGCTAGAGGTGAGGAGAGAGAATTCCAGGCATGAGGGATAGACAGTGCAAAGGTATGGTTATGAGAGATGAAATATAGTGTTCAAGGAAGGGCGAATACGTCTTTGTAGCCAGAAGATTAGAGAGCTTAAGTTTAAGAAGTTTGGAAAAGTAGGAAGGGGTCAGGAGATTGAATGCCTTAAAGGCCAGAGACGTTATATTTAATACTAGAAGTAATAGGAAGCCACTGGAGTTTATTGAGAAGGGAGGTTACATTATGAGACCTTTGCTATAGAAAAATCATGAAACAGCTGACCTCACCACTACAAATTTGTTATATAACCTTAACTGAGCCTTTGATGCTGGTCAACACTCCTTCAGTATCCCTCATTCATTCTCTATTTTTATTTTACACTGCATATTTTAAGCCTTCTCTCCTCCTCTCCAAACCTTAACCCCTCACATTTACAGCATATGATCTAGCTTCTCAGTCAGTTCATCAATAAACATTTATTAAGTTCCTACTATGTTTGTCCCAGGCACTCAGTAAGAACACTGAGGCAATATGGTGTAGTAGAAATAGTATTCTATCTGGAGTCAGGAAACCTGGGTTTGAAATCCTGGCTTTGCTACCTACTGCCAGTGTGACTTTGAGAAGTCGCTTCATTTCTCGGTCCCTCTGTTTTCTCATTTGTATAATGAAGGAAACGGACTAGTCATTGGTGTCAAACTCACATAGAAATGGGAGCCACTAACCATAGATAAAGATCCCTGTGGGTCACATATTAACTTAGAAACCCATACATGTTTTTAAATTTCCTTTTTAATATGTCAACACATTAAAATCAGATAGGAATTGCACTTTAATCTGATTCAAGTCATTCAGAAGTGTTTTGGGCTGCTCAATGCTTCAGGACTCTGTGTTTGACACTTGTAGACTAGGTGACCTTGGAGATCTTTTTCAGTTCTAAATCTGTAAGCTTATGACCTCTCCCAAACTCTCTCCTCCTTCAGCACTTGGCAGCATCATGTCCCCTTCTCTCCTTTCCTCCAGTCATAGAAAAAGTATTGCCAAGTCATCTTCTCTAAGATTAATCCTCTACTTCAGGGGTACTTAACCTGGGTTCTGTGAACTTGGGTTGGTTTTTTTTTAATATATTTTGATAACTATTTTAGTATAATTGATTTCCTTTATAATCCAATATATTTAGTTTTATGAATTCTAAAAGATTTTAAGGAGTCTCTAGGCTTCACCAGGCTGCCAAAGGGGTCCATAGCACACAGAAAAGGTTAAGAACTGCTGCCCTTACCTGTTCTCTAGACCACATTCTCTCTCACTTCCTCTGGGACCTTATTCCAGTTATTGTTCAGTGGTTTCAGTCATGTCCTACTCTTTGTAACACCATTTGAGGGTTTTCTTGGCAGATACTAGAGTGGTTTGCCATTTCCTTCTCCAGCTCATTTTTACAAATGAGGAAACTGAGGCAAACAGGGTGAAGTGACTTACCCAGGGTCACACAGCTAGTGAGTATCATGTGTCTGAGGCTGGATTTGAACTCAGGTCCTCCTGACTCCAGGGCAGGTGTTCTATTCACTGTGCCAGCTACCTTCGTGGTAAGTATCTTTTGAACTCAGGAAGATGAGTTTTTTGCAGGCCTGGCACCTAGCTGCTCCCTTCAAATCTCATCCCTCACTCATCCCTTCTCTCTCCTGAATATATACATATATATATATATATATATATATATATATATATATATATATATATATATATATATATATATATATATATATATATATATATATATAATATATATATATAAAATCACTCCCTGTCTCCTTGTTCTTTCCAAACTATCTACTAACATGATTAGGTCTCCCTGACTTAATTTTTTTAAAGTTTTTTTCTTTTTTGGTGAGGCAATTGGGGTTAAGTGACTTGCCCAGGGTCACACAGTTCTAAGTGTCAAGTGTCTGAGGCTAGATTTGAACTCAGGTTCACTGTATCCACTGCGCCACCTAGCTGTCCCTTAAATTTTTTTTTTTAAAGCTTTCTTTGGATTTTTCTAACCCATTCAGATACCATCTTCTCATCATGCTTGTCTTCACTACTTGGCTTCTTGGAAAGTTGGCTATATGCAGTGTCTCCATTTCTTTACTTCTCTTGTACCATTGACATCTGATTCTTCCCTCAACAATACTGAAATTGTTCTCTCAAAGATTATCAGTGACCTTCTGATTGTTGAATTCTACTTGTCTTCTCTCTGGCTTTTCACCAGGAGTGTGCTAGTAAATGTTTAACAAACATTTCGTGGGGGGGGGGGGGGCGGGGAATACATATAAAACACACTTTTAAGTTTCATCAGCTCTAACATTTTCTCAGTCACTTTCTTAAGTCTAAACAAGCATAAAAACAATAAATCAAGCGTAATTGCATTTGCTGATTTCCAAAGTATAAATGCTCATACTGAAAAATAAATTGGATTCAGGTAGAATCTGAGTCCAGCACACAACTGCTTTTAACCAAGTTAACCATTTCCTTTTGAAAATACTGACTCCTATGCTTCAGAGACACATTTATGTTTTTGTTTCCTCCTTACCTCTCTATTTCTCCTCTTTCTCCTTCTCTGGATACTCAGCCCCTTCCTGATCTCTTAATGTAAGTGTACCCCAAAGGTCTGTCACATGATTTCCAAATACTTATCACCTCTTTTTTTTGAGTTTCATATCTGCTTCTCTGTCTGCCTTCAGATATCCAGCTGAATGTCTCACCACCACCTCAAACTGAAGATGTTCAAAACAGAACATTATCTTTCTTCCTAAGTCCTCTCTTCCTTCTGTTTGCACTATTTCTATCTTTGACCCCGTCATTCAACCCTTTTTTCATGTTTATGACCTTGGAGTTATCTTTGACCCTTTTCTCTCCTTCAACTGTCCTAATCCTAGAAATTCCAGCCCTGAAATATCTCACAAATTTATTCCCTCCAGTCCATTCTCATTTTCATCACTGTAGTGCAAATTCTCATTATCATTCCCTTGGACTTTTGCAAAATAGCTTTGTGACAGATCTTTTTTTTTTAATCTTCATTACCATCCTCTTTCCAATCTGTCCTTCATTCATACTGCCAGAATAATTTATGTTATGCTTACATCTGGTACTGTCTTTCATTTATGCAAAAATGATTGCCTATTATCTTCCAATTAAAGTTGAAATTCTTCTACCTGACATTCAAGGCTCTTCACAATCTAGTGTCACCTTACCTTTCTAGTCCCAGCTCATCTTATTCTCCTTCACATACTCTCCACTCCAATTAAACTGGTCTGCTCTCTGTGACCTCTGATTTCCATGCCATTCCTTATGCCTAGAATGCCTTTCCTCTCTGTTGCATTCCTAAAAATCCTTTAAAGACAGCTCAAATACCACCTTCAGCCTTCTTTACTCACCTACCAAAATGACAATCTTAATTCTCAGTCCTCAAATGGCACTTTGTTATTTATTTTACAGGTATTTAGTATCCTTCCTGTTTCCCATAATACTGTTTTATTAAACAATGAAAAAAAGAAAGAAAGAAAAATAATGCTATAAAAATGCGTAGTCCAGTAAGATAAATTCCAGTGTGGCCAAAGATGCGTGTCAT